CAGATTCAGCTTTGAGGAGTGGTTGCAAGATGGCGGCAGGTGGCGCGTTGGCGTCCATTCACGTGAGGTGGATAGGCTAAGAGCTATCAGTTAGTATGTAGAGATCAGTGAGCGCCCCTTGCTGCTACCAGCCATTTGTATTTGCTAACAGCGCCCCCTGCTGGCTGTACAGCCATTGTATTTGTACAGCGCCCCCTGCTGGCTACATGCACTGTAGTTGATCTACAGCTGATGTCGGTGAGGATGACAATTGCAATGACTTGGATGACTGTATAATATATATAGCATGAGGAGCACTGGTGTTACAGGGCTTCAGAGAGTGGAGGAGAGACAGAGCCGATGCTTATTATTATATATATTATATAGATGAGGAAGCACTGGTGGGTTACAAGGGCTTCAGCAGAGTGGAGGAGAGGACAGAGCCGATGCTATCGCTGGAGGAGCGGTCACGACGAGGTAGGTGACGTCACTGCCGCCGCCCAGCGCGCCAAAGGTGCGCCCCACAGCCCCGAGGTGTTGTAGAGGACCGACGTCATTCTCGAAAAAAGACGAGGGAGGCCAGACAAACATGTCAGGGATAAAAAAAAACCTAAAAGGACAACCCGTACGTACCGCTGCCCTGACTACTTAGTGAGTGTTTTCACTGATGCCATTTGAATCATTCTTCTTCCTCACACCGGTTTAACTCCATATCAATGACAAACTTTGTCTTAATTTTCAAAACGTTCTAGCCCTATTTGACTGCTTTTGCGACACTCTACACATTGATTTGTTATTGCCCACCCTCTCAGGTTTGCCTATCATTTGTAACTAAGATGTGCCCCTGCTCCCCTCGCCGCCCTTCACACTGTACCGCCCTTTGCGTTCTGTGGTTGCCGACCCACGCTGCACTCGCGGCCCCTCCCCTCCCTCATGCACACCCGTTAACGCAGCTTGTCTTGCGTGATTGCAGTGGTGTTACGGACGTTCGCGACGTTGCACGCAGCGATACGAAGCCAAGCGCGACACACGCTGCACTTCGCGGACCCCTCCCCTCCCCTCCCTACCTCTTTCCTCGCACGTTAACGCAGCTTGCGTGCTTTGCAGGGTGTACGACGTTCGCCGACGCTGCTACCGCAGCGATACGCCAGCCAGCGTGACACACTGCGGTGGCACTCGCCGACCCTCCCCTCCCCTCGCGACACGACGTGGTAACGGCAGGCTTGCGTTGCGTGCTTGCAGCGGTGTACACGGTGCCGACGTGCACGGCAGCGGATACGGCAGCCCAGCGGGCGAAGCGTAACTGGCAGGCTCTCGCCGGACTCAACTCTGAGATGGGCAGCAAGAGCTGTGCAGACTCAATGGAGGAACGCATCGCACTCGAAACTACAACCTAGAACATCTCAACCGCCTTTCCGCTTCTGAGACGGAGAAAGGAGGAGGAGGAGGAGGAGGAGGAGCGAGGGGGAGGTGAACATGTTTCTCTTGTTGGGATGAAGTGAGGTATGTGAAGATGGTATGGGCAGAGCGTGTAATCATGGCTGTGCCGACCTGTCTAGGTGTGCGGTGTGTGCATACGTGCGGTCCATGGTAACGTGTTTGTGCATCGTGCGAACACGTGTGGGTGTGGGTGTTGGCGTGATACATACATTTAGCGTACATGAGTGCCAGTTCCTAAAGTGATATGCGGCAGTGTGCCTTGTGTGAGCGTGTTCACGTGCGTGGTAAATTGAAGTAAGTGAGACTTCGATGATTTCGTCACGCTTCTCATTAGTTAAACCCGGTCGACAGTGCGTCGTTAGTCGATGTCGATCATGGAGAATCCCTGAAATTCTTGTGGTTCGCAGTGTTTATCAGCAGTGGTGCCAACGCCGTTCGCTGGAACTGCTATAGTGAGGTTATCAGGATCCTTAATTTCAGTCTGCCAGGACATCGTAGTATAAGTTACAGCATTTAGAGCAGAATTAAGTTACATATTCGAGTGTGCCGCAATGTAAGACAGAAACTTCCAGCATTGCTATGCAGCTTTCAAGGTACATGAGGATGTGGGGACAGCAGGAGTAGCAGCAGCGCAGCAGCAGCCAGCAGCAGCGAGCAGTAACAGCGAGCGAGTGCAGCAGCGAGTAGCAGAGCGAGCAGGCGAGCAGCAGGCAGCGAGCAAGCAGGCAGCAGCATGCAGCAGCGGAGTAGCAGCGAGCAGCAGCATCAGGCGCGCCCAGCGCCCGCACCTACATCGGCCAATCGCGGCCGCTACCCCCATTACCCCTGCCACCTATCTCCACAAACCTCCTCATTCATGCGTCACACTCATATCTATATATATATAAATATATTAACACTCACTTACGAAAGTTTGTACTGAGGGGGGGCGGGCTTTAACTTTTTTTTGTTGGCGCCGCCACACCTTGTTTTCGGTTTTACAAGTGTTGAAGTTGTTTTGCCTGGTGCATGGGCGCGTAGAACTGGATCTGCGAATTGGGAAAACTGGTTATGCCATGGGCTGGCTTCCCAGTTCACGTTTCAATCATAAGTATAGTACTTGCTGTTCATAACCGTGCCGCGGCAGTTGAGCGAATTTGTAGCTCTTCAGGTGTATGATGATCTTCATGGGTTATCCTCATGCGGTTATATTTGTCCTCCACTGCCGCCGCGCCCGCGCATTATTCTTGGATGTAAATGTTAGAGTCGTCTGTAGTTATTGCTCGCTACAGATTGCATCGGGGAAAGAGTAACTGTTTACTCGGTTATGTAAAGTGATGTACTAAACAATTTGGTAGGCAGATAAAAAGTACTGTTGTACTCTGTTATAGCATATACCGTGTTACCACTGAATATTGTGGATTAATTCGCACTGCTTTCTTATGATGGTTTGACTTGTTTAGTGGTATAACAGTTGCTAATTATATATAAAACATCATTATTAATTTAATTTATGAATAATTAGGGATCGTTATTATCAGGCAAGTTGCACTAGTTATTATCTAGTTGGTTTCTCCGTAATTCTCCGTGCTTTTAAATCTTGTCATAACATTAAAATGAATCTTTATATTAATTTCATTTAATCATGGTATCGGGTTTACGTGCAGATTTTTTAAAAATCTGCTATATTAAGCGATAGGAATCACTACAACTAGGTTTCAAGCTTGTGTATTTGTGCGTGTGAATTGTGAAGTGTGCGTACAGCCGTGCGTGTGCGTGTACAATTAGAAACGATACACATTTCAACACAATAATTGCCATTGCTCCTTATTTTAACAAACTGTTTGGTTTCGCTTTAATTACCCCTCTAGGTTTGGTTTATTACCCTACTAGTTGCGCTAGGGGATCGCTCGGTGAGTACGCTTGCCATGGCCAAGCGTGTTCCACTATATCCTCAAAGAGTATACATCTGGAGAGTATACAACTTCGAATACTTAGAGCGCATAATTCTCTGCTTAGATCGGTTCTTGCAATTCCTGTTTGCTCCTCTGCGAGCACCAGAAATTGTCGTTGCTGGACAATGCAGCTGCTGCACAAGGCTCATCGGTGTATAGGGCAGATAGGTCACGAACGAATGCACTTGCTATGACGTAATCAGCATATCGACGGTTGATCTCGTTTTACACACTCTTGTCAGGATTAACATTTTTCCCCTTGCTAGTGGATCGTACTTGCATTCTCTTTTATTGTTGACGTGCGGTTTAGATTTTTCTGAAAGGAATGGCGCGACCCGCAGTAGTGTAATCTCAATAATTATAAGACACTAGAAATGTCTATTTATGATGAGCGGAGGTGTGAGCGGCGCGGAGGGATGGGCGGCGAGTATGGGTAGGAGTAGTGGGAGGGTGGAGGGCGGGGGAGTGAGGGGGGAGTATGGTGAGGAGTATGCCCCAGGTGGGACAGTTCCAGCACGAGCAGTTACCTCCCAGCGTGCACTCACTAACAAATGCAAACTTAACAATTAATCAGCTTAACAAACGGATGCCGGCAGTGCCGTCATGTGACACTCACCCTCGACAGTATTCAGTAGAGATTGTACATAGACAGAGTCGTTTAGATCTTTACGCAGATTCGGCGTGACTCCGATCTCATAGTCTGGTCCGTACAACGTAAAGTACTGCAGCACAAGCACAAGGTATGAATTAATTACACATGGTGCCACTCATGGACATAACGTGTGGATCATACACACGTAACAATTAAATAGTTAGCAATTTAGTTAAAAAGTATATGCATGTCATCAGGGGGTAATAATGACAAATTGTCATTGTTACCCCTGATGTCATATATGTTACGTTGGAAATTAAAAGGGTTTTTAAATTTCATAGTAATACCATTTAATGATACCTCATAACTATTTAGTAGCGAAACTACGTCTGACGTTCGAAGCTGTAACTACATAATAAGAAGAGGTATCAATACACAGTAAAGTGTGAGAACAGGTTGGATGTTCAGCGCTAGTTCTGATGTCATTTTTATTGGATTTCACATAATAAATCATAGGTAAATATAGGCATGGAAATGTTGAATTTCTTGTGTTTCGAGCGAGTCATACTCCTCTCTATTATTCACTCCTGACCTCGTGGTCTGGTATGTCTGTGTCCAGCACACGTCCAAGCAAACGTCCGGTCACATGCGTCCAGCACTTCGCTGTATTGCTAAGATTGTAACCTCCTGATGAAGCGTACGATGTAAACAAATCATAATTAGTTGACTTGAATAAACTCACAATTAACTGTTTGCATGCTACAAAACAGTTGTCAGCAGTAAATATGCGGATATACTGAGAACACCACGAGAGAGGTAGGTCAACATGACAGAGTGAGAACACCACATAACATGGTGTGGTCACGAGGACAGAGGTAGGATACCACAGTAAGGACACCAGGACAGGTTGATTATGCTACAACAGAGTGAGGACATGGTTACACAGTGACGACACAAGTAATAAAGCTTGCCTCCACCGAGTACGAGCATAGGTAACCTCCAGGCAGCCAGGGTCTGTAGACAGCACGCTAGCCCCTCATGGGTAAGGTTCCAGGTTGCCATGGGGTCACCTGCTAATCCGTCAGCTCCACATTGACACACAATCACATCCGGACGATACTGCTCTCTCACTGCCACCATTACCCTGCAGAAGAACCAATCATATTGAGTCTGTGGCATATATATTGAGCAGTCAAGAATCACAGAGGGAGCGTGCGTCGGCTGCCAACCGCCTCCCCAGTTGATCGTAATGTCACATTTGCGGTTGACGAGGAACTCCGCTGCTCGCATGGTGGCGCCACAGGTCGCCGAGCTCAGCGTGAACACACCGCGAAACGGGAGGCAGTCGTAACCTAGCAACACATGACATCATCAATACATGTCACCCAGCAACACATGTCACCCAGCAACAGGCTTTGCCATCTGAGAAAACCACGGGGCCTAAAAAAAGGCTCCGTCATTTATTCGATGGGGCTGATTTTATCTAGACGTGGCCGATTTATTTAAACTGATGAATTATGTAATAAAACTTTGTAACATTCATATGTATTATTACTATAGATGCATATTCCTTACTATTTGGTATATATGAATTTATAACAACCGCAAGGGTAGAAATGAACTTTTGAACAAGGGAGTCCAACGGACGGACTCCCTGCCCTTAAAAAGAGGGACTCCGCTGGAAAATAAGGGAGTCCGCAGTCTGAAGTTCCAAATTAAAGATATTAACAATAACGCATGTGCTTATTTTGAAGATCTATGCGGTTGCACGTCTGCCAAATTTTTCTTGGCACTTTGCTTGGAAAAATACGGGTAATTCTGCAAGGCCGTGCTCTGCGAACAAAGTAGTTAGTATGGCAAAATTTTCCAGGAGTCACACGGCACTCCTTGCATATGTCAAATCAGGGAGTCCGGCAGTAAATCAGAGAGTATTTGACTCCGGACTCCCGTTAATTTCGCACCCTGCAACCAGTGTTCTTTCTCGATTCGACTATCGTTTTCTATCACGGAATCTCAAAATTTGACGGGGCCGGAAATAAAGCCCCACGGACACCGGAGACTGGGCTGTTTACGGGACTTGGGCCGATCGTCCCCGTGAAAAGACGAAGCCTGCCCAGCAAGACATAAATGACATTCATCGCGTCACGTATGAACACGGGAGCGTGGTGTGTAGGAGCTGGGTCGTACCTAACCCATACTCCTGCAGCTCATGGAGCGTATGAACACGGGAGCTGTGTGTAGGAGCTGGGTCGACCTAACCCATACTCCTGCAGCTCATGGAGCGTATGAACACGGGAGCGTGGTGTGTAGGAGCTGGGTCGTACCTAACCCATACTCCTGCAGCTCATGTGTGTATCTCTCATACTCGTCCTCATCAGTATCATTCAGCCACTCCAGGTAGTCTACGTGGTCGGATCCATGAAATGCTGTCAGTGCCTCCACTGATGCTCTCTTTGGCTCGATCACGCTGAGGAGAACAAGTGGAGAAA